AAGCTGGCCACCCTGGGCTTGATCCTCTGCGTGAGCCTGGCGGGCAACGTGCTCTTCGCCTGGCTCATCCTCAAGGACCGGCACCTGCACCGCGCCCCCTACTACCTGCTGCTGGACCTCTGCCTGGCCGACGGGCTGCGCTCGCTGGCCTGCTTCCCCTTCGTCATGCTGTCCGTGCGCAGCGGGGCCGCCTGGCCCCACGGGCCCCTCAGCTGCAAGGTGCTGGCCTTCCTGGCCGTGCTCTTCTGCTTCCACGCCGCCTTCCTGCTCTTCTGCGTGGGGGTCACGCGCTACATGGCCATCGCCCACCACCGCTTCTACGCCAAGCGCATGACGGGCTGGACCTGCCTGGCGGTGGTGTGCATGGTGTGGACCCTCTCCATGGCCATGGCCTTCCCCCCCGTCTTCGATGTGGGCACCTACAAGTTCATCCGGGAGGAGGAGCAGTGCATCTTCGAGCACCGCTACGTCAAGGCCAACGACACACTGGGCTTCATGCTCATGCTGGCGGCCGTCATCGCTGCCACCCACCTGGTCTACATCAAGCTGCTCTTCTTCATCCACGGCCACCGCAAGATGAAGCCGGCCCAGCTGGTACCGGCCATCAGCCAAAACTGGACTTTCCACGGGCCGGGAGCCACTGGCCAAGCGGCTGCAAACTGGACGGCTGGCTTTGGCAGGGGGCCCACGCCGCCCACCCTCGTGGGCATAAGGCAGGCCACCCACAGCCAGATCAAGAGGCTGCTGGTGCTGGAGGAGTTTAAGATGGAGAAAAGGCTCTGCAAGATGTTCTACATGATCACCTTGCTCTTCCTGCTCCTCTGGTCCCCCTACATTGTGGCCTGCTACCTGCGGGTCTTCATTAAGGCCAGCTCCATCCCCCAGGTCTACCTGACCACCTCCGTCTGGATGACATTTGCCCAGGCAGGGGTCAACCCCATCCTCTGCTTCATCTTCAACAAGGAGCTCAGGGTTTGTCTCCGAGCCCACTTCCCATGCTGCCAAAGCATCCAGAGCACCCAGGGCACCATCCTTTGCGATCTCAAGAGCTTTGGGATGTAGGGGGGCTTTTCTCTTTCTAAAAAAAGAAAGATGGATATCATTTTCCATGTTTCTGCATATGATCTCAAGAGAGCGTGACCTGTGGGGGACGTACTAAACCACCACCCAGCACCCAAACCTTAGGCTGTAAGAAGCTATTTTATTTATTTTTCTATATTTTGCGTATGCTCTCTTCAGAACATAAAAGGTTGCTGTCTATGGGAACAGGTACTTGAGCAGAACACCCCCAAACCTTAGGCAGTAAGAAGCTGTTTTTCTTTGTGATTGTGTGGTTTTTAAAAACAAAACAGGGCTCCAAGTTTCTGGTCTTGCTTCTAACATTTCTAGACATGATTCCAACAGATATGGATTAAGGCCATGACATTTTTTGTTTTGTTTTCCTATTCCTGTCTGTTTTGATAAAGGCTTAACAATTTTACTCATGTAATATTTGATAAGGGCCAAGACAATTTTATACTAAAGTTATTTTTGATGACCTCAAGAGGTGTTGTTTTATTATCATTTGCTTTTAAGTGAAGAACAAGAAGAGGACGTTTGTAATGTGGTCAGAAGTCAGTTTTTGGTGGGAGCTGTTGGGTTCATTCATTCTCAAATGGTTTGAGTATTTGAAGCAGTTACTTATAACGTTTGCTTGACATGCAGTCAGTGTAGAACTAATTTCAATTTTCTTGTTGCACTATTCATTTGGTAATACTTCAGAACTATTTGTGAAACGTGATTTTAAAATGATCAACTTTAAAAAATAATCAACTATAGCAGTTTTTAAAACCTAGATTGAAATTCATATTTTACTGCCTTTATAGGAAGTTATCTACAAACCTGGGTAATACTTGTACATTTTGACTGTTTTCTTTAATAAAATATTGAAAACCTTTACTGTATGTAATTGTTTCGGAATGGCAGCATTCTGCTTTGCTGACAAATAACTTGTGTATGTGGAAGGTTGTATGTCTTGTGTCTGAGTAGATTTCACAGCTGAGGTTATTATGGACAAGCACAATCTTTATTTGCTGTTAGATCTCAATTTAGGTGTTTATACCAATAAAAGTGACTAAAGCTATTTTTAAGAAGACTTAAGTTCCTGATGGGCAACAGGTTTAAATAGCACAATTTTTTTGTGTCTCTACTAAAACCAGATTTGTGTTTTAGCTAATGGCTCCTCTGTTAACGATAGAGAAGAAGGTATAATTGTGGATCGCTAATTTTAGTTGGCAAAGCAGGTTTGTAACGTGGTGGCTTGGTTAATATTGTACTCGTTTGTAACCTGTATTCTTAACAGGTAACTCACATTTATTAAGCGTGGCATTTTTAACCTGCTTTACTGTTCTACAAAAACTCCTCTGAACTATTTAAACTGTCAGCCTGATGGCACAGTTTAAGTCCTGACACAACTTTTTAGCCATCTTGGAGGAAGCTGTGCCCGACGTGCTTGCTTTCTGCTGTACCACGTGTGCTGGAGCAAGTCGCACACAGAATGACAGAGATAAGCTCAATCCCCATGAAGAGATCTGCGTCTGTGCTAAGAGTATTTCTGTAGAGAGTGGTCCAAAGTTGTTAGACATCAACTGAGAAATCGTTGTCCTGACTGCGAAGGGAGCATGGAAGAGATGCATGGGACAGATCAGAAGCAGGCTAAGGTGGCAGCTCCAGATTTAGGCAGGGAGTGAAACTAGGGGAGGCTCCTCCTTTGTTTTTATGTCTTGCTTTCCACCCCCAACTCAGATATGAACACCAGAGAGGCAACGTTTCTCAAAGTACGTACTGAGAAGTTTGCAATTTGAGCTTTCAGTGTAGCCACAGAGAAGGTAGGTGGGAGGATGATGGAGCTGTCTTGATGCTGCCAGAGCTGGGCTAAGAAATATGACCATGGATGGAGTATCTTGAAAACAAAGTGAGACTTAATGATCATTTCCAAAGCTGTTGGAAAATGCATCTGGGTACAGAAGGAAAGCTGTCAAGAACACAGAAGCAGGTTATCAGTGCTAATTCTGTTTCCATCCTGGAATTTCAGATCATTGCTTAGTGAATCTTGATGAGTAATCAGGTAGAGTTGTGTTACAGAGACCTGGGGGCAAGGCATCGATGCTGCTACTAGGAATTGTATTCCAAGTATACCTTACATGCCTGTGTTACTGTTAGGTCTCTTCAGTGGGGTTCCAACTTTTGCAGAATCGTATTTCCTTAAAACTTAAGCAGCTTCCTATAGAGGGGCCTAGTACTGTGATCTCCAGCGCAAACATTGCCTTCTTTTTCCTAATCCTGCTGGTGCCCAAGCCAATGTTTTATTTCTCTTACTCTATTAAAAGTGCCTGATATTTTGGCATCCTATCTCTCTTCCAGGCTATAAGTAGTATGGTTATGATTCTATTTAAACTACAGAGATGGGAGAGTAGTTATTTTAAAACCTCCTTTAAAAGCTGCAAAGACCAGATTTTTTCACTTTTAGAAAAATTAAGCACAAGCTGTATAGTCAAATCATATATGCGGGGGATGAAAAAACATCACCTTTGGGTGACCTAATGGTTTTATTTAGGCTTAGTTTATCAAGCTGTGCTGCTGCACTGAATGCCAATCTCCGTGCATAGGCATCCCCCATCTCAGCGATGCCCCTGCCAGAGTCAGGTTCTTACCCACTGAAGGTAACGGATGCTTTGCTGTCACCCATCAGTGGCAACCAGACCCAGCCTTGCTACAGCAAAAGGATAAAAAAAAAAAAAATAATTTAAAAAGGATATCTGTATACTGTACCTTTTGCTTACATGTAGCTTCCAGGGCTGTCTCAGGACTTCTGATGTAGTTCGAAGGCAGAATCAGCACTGTTTGAAGTTAATTTTGTATTTTTGGTAGTTGTAATATCAGGCAGATTATGATCCTGGCCACGCTAGTACAAAAGAGAAGGAACTCCAGTAGCTTTAATTCAGGGTTTAGATGGGTGTTGTACAATAGGGCTTCATTTCAGAAAATGCAAAACTAAATATCAAGGACAGACACATAGCAGAAAATTAAACAGTACTTTGCTGGCACACCAACAAACACCACTTTGCAAGTCTATCCCGATTCCTGAGAACGCACCAAGAAAGTAGGAAAAAACAGAAAGGGCTAGAGAGATGCTAAAGGATAAATATTCCTTATAAAATCTGAGAAATTTCCAAAGCAGAGTATTAACATGTTCTCACAGCATCCTTTAGTCTGCATATGGGGAAAGTGGGTCACGGAGATTAAATGCTTTGACCAAGATCACAGAAGGGGTGTCAGAGAGGATGAAAACCTGCTCTGGATAACAAAAGTAGACAAATAACGTTAAGAGTGTGGGTCATTTCAGAAAATGCAAAACTAAATATCAAGGACAGACACATAGCAGAAAATTAAACAGTACTTTGCTGGCACACCAACAAACACCACTTTGCAAGTCTATCCCGATTCCTGAGAACGCACCAAGAAAGTAGGAAAAAACAGAAAGGGCTAGAGAGATGCTAAAGGATAAATATTCCTTATAAAATCTGAGAAAAGATAAGTTGGGGGGAAAAAAAAAAAAAAAAAGCATTTCCAAAGCAGAGTATTAACATGTTCTCACAGCATCCTTTAGTCTGCATATGGGGAAAGTGGGTCACAGAGATTAAATGCTTTGACCAAGATCACAGAAGGGGTGTCAGAGAGGATGAAAACCTGCTCTGGATAACAAAAGTAGACAAATAACGTTAAGAGTGTGGGCTGAGCACAGGGAGCCATCCCCGATGCCTGTTGGGACCTGCAAGGAGCAGCTGTAAGCCTCCATGCCCCCAGCTGCCCATCCAAAAACCCGAGTGCCGCTGGTCTCGCTCAGACGTGCTAATGGCCGAGGCTCAGTGAGAGCTGGGTGTCAATAATCACCTCCCACGTCCACGGGAGAAGCTCTTGCAAGTTGTTGTGCAAGTCTCAGGCTCACTTGCGGGAACTCAGATGGTCTGAACCCCTCTCCCCATCCCCACTGGCCAAAACGCAAAGTGCTTGGAGGGTCTGATGAGCTGCACGGCAGCAGGGCTCTCCCAGCTCCTCCATCTGTGCTTGCGCAGAGCATAGATTGAGTCTTCTCTATACCCCTCCAGGCATACATAGGATAGTTTTCCATACTCTGGGCAACACGAGTGCCGAGTATCACAGGAAATACCAGCATCACCTCCCCCAGAGATTCTCCCCAGGCTGGCTCAGAGGTCACAGCGCGCTTGCTGTTGCGTATCTGTGGTGAAGAATTGCAGTTGCAGAAAGCTGCGCTGGAAAAATCTTGATTGCTGCTGGCATCTTCACTCACTCGCCAGGTATTTAACACATTCCTTGCAAATGTTCCCAGTCAAAAATCTTGCCATGCTGAAGTCAGTGGAGGTTTTTAGCATAAACTTAAATGTCGGGTCAGCTTGAAAAGTGATACTGGTCTGAAATCTCAACAAGTAGTGGCTACGGCCACCTCTTGCCTTACAGCACTCAAAGGCTGCAGGACTGGCATGCTGCTGGCTTGGCTGTTAGATTTGGAAAGAGTTTGCTGGGAAAGGGGCTTAAATATTTGGCCCCAGCCAAATTATGTTGTTGGGTACAGGTCTTACTCTGTGGTCACGCTAGAGGTGAAGGATGAGCAGGGGGATGCACAGCCCACAAGCTGTCATCATTTGCTTTTCCAGTACCAGGTCTGCACCAGGGGAGAGAAAGCTGCCTCCCAGAATGGTGTGAAGTCAGTAGCTTTGAGGAAAAGGGCAGGAATTTGGCTTAGTCTGAAAGCAACGATTCTTTCCTGGGGCTCTACCTGGATGTGATACAGCTACACCTCCAGAAGGCTGCTCTGCCATATGCTGCGGGACTGCCCTGGGACACGCTGTGCTGCGCTCAGAGGAGAGCAAAGCTGACATTTTCCCCTCCCTTCCCAGCAAAGGATGTGTGGAGTTTGGCTGGACCTCTGCCACTTGCACGGTTAAGCGCAGTCACCTTACTCTGGTGTAGCACATGCACTTGCTCAGGGTTGCCAACAAACCACTCTGAGAGCAGCGGCTGCGGGCAGAGTAACAGCCATGTGTTGGCAGAACACTAGGTTAAGTATCTGAAGGCACGTCATTAACTTGGGCTGCAGATTAGATGATGCTGTGACATACCAGAATACTCCAGAAACCCTATTAGATATATAAATAATGATAAAATTATTAGAAAAGTGGCAGGGGGATGTTTTCTAGTAGAGGACCCCCAAAATCCTCAATTTCAGCACAGCTTCCTTTATAGTTGCTCAAAACACCACACAGACTACAAGTAACTCCACCTTGATATGAGCCAGGAAGCATCTCCCGGGCTACGCTGCTCTTAGGCTTCAGAATGCGGCCAAGTATACAACATCCTGAAGAAACGGAGCCATCGGAGAAAGACCATCAGTGAAGAGGGTCTCTTAAAAGCTGGCACAGAGTTGCTCCAGGCTGGGGCTGTGCCGATGGAAGTCGTACCCCAAACCTCCTTTTAGGCTGGTGACCTCCGATGCAATGCCATTCACAAAGTGCCTCGTGCCAGGTAAAATCCTTACTCACCCATCGGTTATAGAACTGGTGACCAAGAGCTGAATTTCCCCTGACATCCGTGGCACTCCGACTTTCCCCAAAGCTGATGATGCTGAGCATCTCTGAGCCTATTTTCACTTGGTGCAAGTCATTAACTGCCCCACACCTTGGTACTTTATCTGAAAAATGATTCATTATTCTTACTCACCTTTGTAAAGCACAGAGCTACTGATGGCAAGAGCAGAGCATTATCTCGGGTG